ACGGGCTACCCTGGCATCGAAAGGAGAAGAAAAGGAAGAGTTGGAGTCACTGTGCCACACGCCATAGTGTGTAGATCATCCGCTACGGTGCACAGCCATCTCTGAGTTAGGGAAGACCTCTCTGTGCCATGCATTGTGACGCGTTGTGTGTCCACTGTGGTGCATGGCCATTTTTTGCACTTTAGCAGACACGAAATGAGACAGAAAAAGAAAGAAAAGAAAAGAGAGAAAGAAGAGGCGTGCCAATGCTCTGCTAGGGTTTACTTGGGGACTACTTTGAGAGTATTTTGAAGGCTACATACACTCAAGGTAAGTATTATACTCATTAATCTCCCCATTTCTTTCACATTTATGAGTTTATGGTTAGGGTTTGATAGTGGAAGTGGGATTTCAGTCTATATAGGTTATGAATCCAAATTTGTTGACTCAAATGAAGTTAATGGGGGTAGATTAAAGTATTTAAACCTAGGTATAATGAGTTTTGGTGTCTTGGGTTGTTAGGAACCATAATACCCAAAAATCTCATTTATTATGGGTGATTGGAAGTTTGTAATGCCATTAATAGGGATTTAATGACTCATTAATGCTATTGGGGGCTAAAGGTAACTATTAAACCCAGTTGTTAGGCTCTACCTCTTATAAAATGAAGGTTGGGCAATTTAGAAGTAGAGATTGAGGGTTCAAATGTTTGAGTTTGTTATGTTGATAAAATTCAATTTGGTTGATTGTAGTTTTGGCTCTTAGTCACCTATTGGAGTGGAAATTCAAACTTGGAAGCTAATTGATTGAGGGGTAAACCTTTGACTTCTTAAAGGTTTGAGGTAACTAGAGGAAAACTCTACTTTGAGTAGTTGTGTGCTAATTGATGGTTAATTGATTATTGAATGCGAATGGTGAATGTTACATGAATAAGATTGATTTTTATGTAAAACTATATATTAGTTTTCAATGAGTGTATGAAAATTTGATTGAGCACAATGCTATTTTGGCTTAAAATGCAAAATGCAAAGTCAAAAGGATTTTACTATGAAAATGCTTATGTTTTGAAAAATGAATGCGATGATGAGTAGAGATATTTGTGTGTTAGTCATGAAATGAATTTGAGAAAATGATGAGGATACACACTTGGGTAACGTAAGGTTGTGAGCCCAACGTGGTTGTTATAATAGTGAGTAAATGAAAGTGAAAAAGTAAACTCAAGTGAGTAATGATTATTGCATGATCAGTGGCGGGAGTTCACTAAGGGATTTGGGAGTAGAGAAAATCCATATGGTAATTAGGCTACCCTCCAGTGTACAGGGGCTATAGCCTTGTCCCACTATTTGTCGAGAGACTGTCTCATAGTTTGTCAAGGGACTAGAACCTAGCTATCTCCATCAATTCAATGAGGAGAATAGCCTAGGGTATGTGACACCCCAGGGATTCAAGAATGGGGGAAGCCGTGGTCCAAGAGTGAGTTCTGTGATCTTTAACTGGGTCACACCTCACAATTAGTGAGCTTAGATAGTCCAGTCACACAGACGGAGCCCTAATCAGTGTTATAGCCCACGGTTTCAGTCTGAGAAAATAAGGAGGATATAAGGTTAGTTGATCATTGACTAAGTAAATATATGACGTGTCACACGTGCTAAATGTGGCAAGTTGCAAGAGTATGGGTCATATCACATATTTGAGAATATGGTGATAATGCACTTAGTTACGTGAGTTAAAGAAGCTATATAGTGATAAATGGTAAATTATGATACATGTGAGTTTGATTTGCATATTTGATCTCCTTGTGTATGTATTTGTTTTATAATTGATATATAACTGCATAGGATAGGGTTAACCTTGATTACTGAGTGGCTAGACTGACCCCTCTTATTTAATACTTTTTAGACTCTAGCTCTCGTGTAGAGAGGGAGAAGACTAAAGAGGCAAGGAATTAGCATATTCCTATTGTATGCCTCTAGTTTAGATTTAATTGTGTAATAGCATATAAATTGGCAATTCTATGATGCATATCACCACACTTGTACTATTTTGGTTGTTGGAAATATTAGAATTGTATTTTGAGCCCTTAGCCTTTATTTATGTTGATATATATATATATATATATATGTTTATAGGGTCAAAATACTAGTACAAGTGTAGAAATGAACATTTGAACATGTTTTGAATGATTTGAGTGAAATGCAATGCTAATTTACCTTCCCCTTTAGTTTTGGTAAAATGGGGTTGATGAGTGAATTTTTGTTATATTGATGTTTCGGTGCTTGTGACGTGTTGTACTAGTAGTTCTAGGTCCATTGGACATGGTCCAGGTATTAGGAAAAGCTCTTGGTACTTGTTGAGGGTTTTAGACACTCATTTTGTGTAAAAGTGTTGAAAAGTGGTCAAATTGTGCTTAAGTGTCCAACTTCCTAATGTGACTTGTTTTGGAAGTAAAACCTATGCCATTAGCTAATTCATATAAAGAGCTTTCTGTAGACACCTAAATCACGTCATTCGAACGTTAGACGGAGAATCAAGGCGAGTCAGAAATTCCTCTAATTTTGCTGTCAAATGATAGCAAAACCAGTGAAATTTTGTGCAACATGTCATGGTGCATAGCGCTTGATTCATGGCGTGTGGCACAAAGAGCAACACATTGCGGCACAACGTGCACGAGGCGTAGTGCATTGCTCTGAATCATAACATATGCTTTGTTTTTCAACTGTTTTCGACTTTTTTCACTCCTCTGAAGTATCCCATACTTTCGAAACTTATTTTTACTCTGATATGAAAGATTTTGATCAATTTTAACTTGTTTCTATTTAAAAAACTTGGGATTCCTTACTTTTGGATTAAAACTTGGTAATTACTTTTTGAGCTAATCCTCTAATTACCGTGAGTCTTTTTTATTAATTGTATTTAGTAGAGTGAGAACGTTATAGCATACTTCTATACACATACTCTATAACTCTGATTTAGTCTTATTTTAAATAATATTTTATTTATTTAATGGTGAAAACTTAAGATCTCATTTGAAAATAAGTTTAAGTATTAGAGAATTTTAATTAACCAATTAATTTGGGCTTAAAATCCCTCACTAATTTAGTATTTTAGAGAGGAATAAATGATCCTTCACTAAATTTTCTCACTAATTTGCATTTTTTTAGTAGTGATTAAGTATAAGTTAATGATGGTAGTAATTTACTGTGAATTTAGAAGTTTGAAATCCATTTTGTACATGTTAGAAATTCAAAGTTCATGATGCTTTTTTTGTAATATTTCAAAGTCAAAAATGCTTATTAACCCTACAATAAAAGCTAACATATAAGGGTATGATAATAAAGTTATTACCTCACATTTCCTTCCCCTCCTAAACTAAATAAAGAATTATTAAAAATCCCTTCCCTTCCCTCTCCTCCAACAAAACCAAATAAAATAATATAAAATATATCCTCCCTTCCGCTTCTCCTATCCTGAATCAAACACAACCTTGTTGAAATTTTAGATAAAAAGGTTGCATTGCTTTTAAAATTCCAAAAATTTTAGACTTTTCAAAAAAACTTTTATTTTTGTCATAAAAAAACCTTTAAATCAAAGTTGGAATCCCTCTCGAAAAAGGCGTTCGCATTTAATGCTTGAGCACGCTTCAAAAAAAAATATTGTCTCCAATAGGGCTGATGGATACCTATGAACAATTTAAAAAAATACTTTATTTTTAAAACAAATATAGTATAAGTTACTTCCCATATTGTGCAACATTTGAGACTCTGGTTATAGGAATATATGTACTAGCCCCCCACAAACATTTACCTCCTTGTAAATGTTTGAAGTGGTACTTTATAAACTGGCGATAAAAAATTTGTAATTAAGTCTTGCCTCCATAGGTAAAATAAGAAGAAAATTTAATTTGGCCCCCAACAAAATAATTCTAGATCTGTCACTGGCTAGCTAACTCTTGTGATAGTTTCATGCATGATTAGACTTGTTATGCCCAACACAAATTTCAAAAGGATTAATTAATTACTTTGTGAGGCCTCTAAAACAAAAATAAACCAAAGTAAAATAGACAGTTGCGAAGAAGATTGTCCGTTCTCCACTGAGTCTGAAATATCTTTATCTTTATCTTTAATATTTATTATAAAGTCAATACTTACTCTGAAACACTTGTTTTTCCTTGAAAATAACAAACATACCAAGTGTACAAAAAGGCGGTGGCCGAAGAGTTAGTTAAGGAAGTGGTCCTGAATTGGCAACGACAATATCACGGGTTGGCTCAAAACCAATAACCGAAAAAAAAAAAACGTTGTCACATGTAACCCAATCTCCCCTTAACCCTCAACTTCCACCTAGATGGGCCCACATTTCCCTCATAATGCCCACCTCTCATTCCAAACCCAAACATACATACATCGTAGCTACTCCAAATCATAATAAAATATTATACACACACAAATACACACAATGAAATGGGACCATATTGAAAATTATTATTTATTCTCTTTTTATATTTAACTTTGTGTGAGTCCTGTGCACTCTATAAAGAGTCATATAAGGTGTATTGATTGTATGAGGAGAATGAAAAGTTGGTCTCAACAAAATTTAAAAAAAATAAATTAAAAATATCGATTTACATAATTGCAAATTCAAAAATTTTAATAATAAATACATATATAAGTATCAAATGTATAACTCTTAGATTGTAATGAAAATTTATATTTGTACTTGTCTGAATTGAAATTATATTTACAATTCATTATTTGTTAAGAAAATTTTGTGGGGACCTAATTATCATTAAAACTTTTGGGGTTCTAACTATCATTCTCCCAATTGTTTATTTCTTGTGGATCTTATTAGAATTTTTATATCATATAATTAGAAATTTAATCGTTTGCATATTATAATATAGAGTTTAATTTGAGGGATATGGGTCTGCCGATCATCACTTGTAATTAGTATCGAATTGATACATATATATTGATCACAAAATTATAATAAAAAGTTGTGCGAATGCATTAAAAAATAACAAATTAAATGAAGAAGATCAGCTCGTCATCATACAACAAGAGGGTACATATTAATATACTTGGAGCTTATGACAATGGCTAACTTTTTGCATTGGTCAATATATCCAGAGCCTTAATTCCAAGAATAATAATCTCAAGACATGGACATGCACACGTTAAATACATTAGATAAATACCAGATTAAACAGCCGCCTAATTTAAAATGCATAAAACAACACACACACACACACACACACACACACTAATTAAAAATATTTGATAATATCGTGGTGGATATATATATATACTAAGATTTTTAGGACATTTTTAAGTGTCATCAATTATTTCTTAGATGGTACGTAGTAATATTATTACATAAGAAGACTCCTAATAATGGCGGCTTGAGCACTGTTGGAGTCAGTGTTGGCCAAGAGCTCAGACAGTCTCTCACTCAGATCATCAACTTCTCTATGCAAGCTCTTGATGTAGTTACAAGTCTCTTGTAACACCTTTGAAGCAGAAACCTGCATTCCCGGGAAAATAATATAATATTAATTAATCCTACTAATAATTATATAATTAGCGAAATTACATGCTTGCTAGTGTTTGTGTGTCTATATATATATATAATATTATAAGCAGGTATCAGAGACAAGCTAGAGAGAGAAATCCACAGGCACATCATCAACTTGTGTGGCTAGAGAATGAGGGAGACATGAGCGTGACTTATCTACCCAAGCAAAACCATGGCCACACAAACTCATTTGAATTCAAGTGTGCTTGTATTATGTTTGTGTGTAGGTGAGAGAGAGAGAGAGAGAGAGAGAGAGAGAGAGAGAGAGAGAGCATGTACATCAGCAAGATGTATAAATATAGATTTATTGTTATTATTATTATTATTATTATTACGCATTGCATGGAGCTTAAACTATTCATGATGAATAGTACTGTGCATCTTTGTGAGAAAACAAGATATACAAGAATGTCTGAACTGAAACGAAATTTCAAAGAAGCGGAATACACGAATTGATACCTTGTCGGAACGACGTCGCGGGGAGCGAAGCTCAGGGATGAGTTGTTGTAACTTGGAGACAAGGTCGTTGATCTGAGCTTCGGTGATATTATCAGAGGAAGAATCACGGGAGGAGGAGGAGGAGGATCTTCTGGAAGACATTGTTGGTATATCTGGTAATGTTGGTGGCTAGATGGGAATGATAATTTTAATAATAATGCGACGTCGTCGTCGATGTTGTTAAATGGAAGAAGAAGGGGAAGAGGAAGAAGATGACAGAGAAAGTTAGGCAAGAAGAAGTGATGGAGGGAGAAAGGGGAAGTGGGGTGTTGTCAGAGAGAAACAGAGAATTTGAAAAGTCTATAAAAGCTAAGGAAGGAGTATGGGACGGTATATTAAGGGAAATGGAATTATCAGAGACAAACAGCTGATGGGCAGAATGAGATGGGAGAAGGAAGTGGGCTAGGGGTCTTGCTTATTAATAGGGGTTAGAGAGAGAGAGAGAGACCATGCTTTGATATCTCACCTTGTCTCCAAAGTGGGGTTAGAGGGCAAGTGGGGCCCTTCATTCTAATTATGTCAACAAAAATTGGCCACAAAATCACCGGGATTTAACTGATAACGAAGTTATATAAAATTAGAGATAGTGAGTTGAAGTTTTTAAAATGAAACAGTGTTGGTGGTAGAATTTCTACCTAAGAGGATCTTGAGCCAACTCAATCTAGATTAATTAAATTAAATCCCTTGAACTCATTAATGAGATAACTTTAAGATACTGAATGCGTCATGTGAAAAAAAAAGAGAGAATGACATTAAAGTTCTAAACTAATACAATTATAAGAATTACGTTCCAGATCAAATTTTTTGAAAAATCAATTATAAATATTAATATAAATAGTAAGAAATTAAGGGATTCCAACTGCAAATAAGATAGGGATAATGAGCAAAATAGCTCTCGAAATATTATGCAAAAAGCACTTTAAACCATGAACTCTTAAAATGTGCAAAATGGATTCTAAACTTTTAAATTCATAGCAAATTAAATTCCATTATTAACTCACCGTTAACGTCATTACTATTCCCTCAGTGGGACCCAGTCAAAATGTTGATGTAGCAGTCCTTTATGCATGTGTTATTTTTAATTAGCACCACAAACTTTACACTATTGCATGAGCAGTATCTTGGATCCTAAGCTTTAAAATTTAGAGCAAATTATCCCACCATTAATGTGTAAAATGCTAACTATTATGTAGATTAAATTAGCCTCAATGTGGTCCGCTGCTGTGACTATATTGTTGGCTGTGACAAACGACTCATAATTTTGTGAAATGAATTTTTTGCCTTTTTTTACAATATTTTTCAAATGATTTATATCCCATACTTTCATATACTCTATAACTCTAATTTATTCTTATTTGAATAATGTTTATTTATTTAATGGTGGAAATTTGAGATCTCATTTGAAAAAAAGTTTAAGTATTAAAGGATTTTACAAACGATATATGCGAAAGTTGACAATTTTATCGACGAATTTCAAAACAAATTAACCAGTTAATTAAAATCTTAAACTTTTTTTCAAATAGGATCTTAAGTTTTGTTTATTGTGGCCAACAATACATTCACCACAGTAGACCAAGCTGAGGTTGATTTGGTTTATATAATAGTCAACATTCTACACATAAACAATAGGGGTAATTTGCTCTAAATTTTAAAGTTCAGGATTCAGGATGCTACTCACACAATAATTAAGGGTCTATGGTACTAATTAAAAATGACATATCAGCATTTTGATTGGGCCCCATTGAGTGAACAATAATAGTGTTAAAGTAGTTAACAGTAAGGTTTGATTTGTTATGAATTTAAAAATTCAAGGTCCATTTTGTACATTTTAAAAGTTTAGGGTTTAGGGTGCTTTTCATACGATACTTTAAGATCTATTTTGTTCAGTAACCCAATAAAATATTTAAATTTTAAATCTAATTCTAAGTTTGCAATTAAGATTCTTGTTTATGACTGTTTAAATCAATATTTATAACTTATCTTTTAGAAAAAATTGTTAGGATTTAATTCTCATAAATTCTAAGTTTTGAAATTTTGTTATTATTCTCAAAAAAAAATAAATCAAATTAGGGTGAGAGCATGACTTGTATTCTATAAAAGATATGGGTTCAGAATACCCACAAAAAAAAATATGGGTTCAGATCCATAAGTAATTTTAATTGTTTTTTAATTGTGGGGCCAACCTTAATTTTAAGCGTCTAGCTTATCTACTAATAATATATTCTAATAAATCTAGTTTAGATCAAATGTCTGAAAACATCCAACAATAAAGAAATAATCACCGTTTTCATATACTCTCTGTTAAAAAATATAAGATATTTTTAATTGAATTTCACCATTCAATAAAGTAGTTACGTATTTTCAAACTAACTTTATCTTTTTATATTTATCTCTATTAAACACCGTATAATAAATATAAAATTAATATTAATAGGAGCATTTTTAAAAAAATAATGATTGCATCTCAAAAGATTAAAAATATTTTACATTTTTGAACATTCAATTCCTTAAAAAATATCTTAAGTTTTTAAATAGATGAAGTATATGCTTGTTTCCTCTCTCTCTCTTTTTAATATATATATATATATATATATACAATACTTAAACACATACACACACAATACTGGTATTCTCTTTATGCACACAAACAGAAAAAAATGATGCAGGGATAGTCATAAATCATCAATAATAAATAATAGGAGAAATCACAATCAAGACCCCTAATGAGAATTAATTACACTACAGGATCAAATAATTTTAATATTACTCTAGAGGATCAAAAGACCTAAATGTAATTAAAATTTAATGTGAAAAGACAAAACCATCCTTGATGTATTTTTGTTGTGACGAAGGAATTAATTGTTGTTAAAATAAGAATGAGACTTATTTATTTTCAAATGGAGACTTATTCACCATATTATATCAATTCATCTACCAAATTAATATTTTATAGTTGTTAATAAAAAAAATAGATTATTGTGAGAATGGAAATGAGGCTCTTTTCTTTTTTTCTTTTTCCAAATGGAGACTCGTTTCCTTTCTATCACCAAGTTAATTTTAGTTGTTAATAAAAAATTAATTATTATTAAAATGTAAATGAAATTTTTTTTTCAACGAGGACTTGTTCCTATCTACCAACAAGTTCATTTTTTAGAGTTATTAATAAATGAATTGATTATTGTTAAAATATGAATGAGATTTATTTTTGTCTTTTAATAACAAATGTAGGTATCTTGGTCTTAAAGTGTAATATTAAAATTATTTGATCCTGCAATGTAATTAATTATCTCTAGGGGTTATTGATTGTGATTTCTCCTAAATAATACTGCAGGGAACAAACCACGACTCGGATGTTCCCCGATTGAAGCGACTCATAAATTTTCTTTAAAAAAACTAAAAACACGGGCAAGTGGGTAAAACGACAAGTAAATGAGAAAATGAGCTTAGGTATCACCCAAAACCCAATGGCGCGGGCCTCTCTGTGTCATTCTCGGCACGCAACCCCATGTTATCTTATTTCCCTAATCGCATTCCCTGCATTATCATCCTTACTTCCTTTTATTTTTTATTTTTTATATTGTTATAGACCAAAAACTTCATCTGCCTGTAATTTTAGGTCTTGTTTAATTTCTTTTTCTATTTTTTATTTTCAAATTTTTTTTGTGATATAGTTTTTAAAACTATTTTTTAAAATAAATAAAAAAATCTGTTTGATTATATTAATTTAAAAATCAGTTTTATAATTAAAAATTGATTGATAGTGATTGTAGTTGGTATTTATTGATGGTATCTTATAATAATAATTGATCAAAATGATTATAGTTTTCAATAAAACAACTATAATGTATTTTCATTATTCTAAAAACAAGAAAAATAGAATGAAAATAGCTTTAAAATACTTTCATTTTCTAAAAAATGAGAATAATTTTAAAAACAATAAAATTCAAAACACTTATCCAAATGAGTTTTTTAATTTTTATATTTTAAAAAAATGAAAAAATGTTTTTAAAAACAGAGATGCAAAATTGCTCTCTTTGTTAGATTGTTTATATTAAGTCTATTTAAATATAATTTACTTCATCAAAATAATTGAAGTCATTATTTGGTTAGACATATCTCAAGTTTTATATATTCATGATTTATTTTTTTAATTTTTATATATAGGACTTCTTTTATATCTAATATTTTTTTCTACTACTTTTTTTCTCGCCCACTTTTCTTCTTTTTCTGTTTACTAGAACTTGTATTTTTTTAATATCAGAGGCCTTCTATTTAAATTTCTTCTTCTTCTCCTCTTCCTCCTCATTTTTGTTAAACTCTTGTAACTTTTTTACTTCTTCATCTTTCATTCATTCTTCTTTTTTGGTTCTTCGTATTTTTGTCTCTGGTTGTAATGTCCACCTAGAGATTATCATAACATATCACACATAAACACTCTATCATGGTAATTTAGGGATTTAATAATCATACTTACCATGATTCAAAGGATTAAACTAAGAACAATGAATACATCATTTTAAAGTGGGGATGCCATTAAAAATCTTTTAAATTGCTGAGTTCAATGAGGTCTAAATCAAAGTATGAAATCATCAAAAGCATGGAAGAACAAGAAAAATAAAATATTACAATAAGGGGGAAAACATAATTTTGCCCAATTCTAGACCTTTTGTTGTAGCTAGAAGTTGTTGTGTCATACACCACAATGGAATCGCTATGACATGTACAACACTTTAACAACATCGTTAATCAAAATTTTTGTATAAGGTTATCATAATACAAGGGTTTAAAAAAAATAAATAATTTAAACGTTGGGATTTTAAGAAAACTCTTTTTGAAAAGATGTTTGAGTTCAAATTATGATTTAAAACAAGTTAAATATGATGTAGTAGAAGCATAGAAATTAACTACGAACATTAAAAACATCAAACAAGAATTTTGGAAAATTTCTAGAAGTGCACTGTCCGCCATGGCATAGGTAACACTGGTCACAATGGATGGCACAGAGGAACCACGTTCCTCTTTATGCAGTGCACAGCGGTAGACTTGCCTTGCCTTGCGGCTCACTCCTGCTATAATGACAGCTATTTCGACTAACTTTCGAAGTGCACCGTTTCACTATTCGACGCTTGATTTGAGCAGTTCAAACATCCATACATAGCTCTTTGAGCCCTCTAGCTATTGGTACCGGTTTCATACTCAAACATTCAACCATTTAAAAGTTAGATACCCAAATCCAATTTGGTCCATTTTCAAAGCAAAACACACACAAGAGTGTCCAAAACCCATAACTTAGTGCTAATAACCTTGGGATCACTTATACCAACTCAAATGGACTACACCCCACCTAATAGGCCAATCATATTACTACAACAATA